CTGAGGGTCCAGAACTGGACACAGCACTCCAGGGGTGGCCTCACCAGAGCTGAGTCCAGGACAAGAATCACTTCCCTGCTCCTGCTGCCACCCTGTTCCTGATCCAGGCCAGGATCCATTGGCCTCTTGGCCACCTGGGCACACTCTGGCTCATGTTCAGCTTCCTGTCAATCCACATTCCCAGGTCCCTTCCTGCCTGGCTGCTCTCCAGCCACTCTGGCCCAGCCTGGGGGGCTGCCGGGGGTTGTTGTGGCCAAAGGGCAGGACCCGGCACTTGACCTGGTTGAACCTCATCCCCTTGGAATCAGCCCATGGATCCAGCTTGTCCAGGTCCCTCTGCAGAGCCCTCCTGCCTTCCAGCTGATCGACACTCCCCCCCAACTTGGTGTCATCTGCAAATTTGCTGATGATGGACTCAATCTCCTCATCTAAATCATCAATAAAGATATTAAACAGAACTGGGCCCAACACTGATCCCTGGGGACACCACTGGTGACCAGATCCCAACTGAATGCAGCACCGTTCCTCACCACTCTCTGGGCCCGGCCCTCCAGCCAGTTCCTAACCCAGCACAGGGTGCCCCTGTCCAAGCCATGGCTGCAGCTTTTCCAGGAGTGTGCCATGGGAGACAGTGTCCAAGGCTTTGCTGAAGTCCAGACAGACACATCCACAGCCTTCCCCTCATCCACCAGGTGGGTCATGTGGTCATAAAAGAAGATCAGGTTAGTCAGACAGGACCTGCCCTTCCTAAACCTGTGCTGGCTGGGTCTGATCCCTTGTCCATCCTGTAGGTGCTGTGGGACTGCACTTAGGATGATCTGCTCCATAACCTTGCCAGGCACTGAGGTCAGGCTGACAGGCGTGGAGTTTTCCGGGTCCTCCTTGCAGCTCTTTTTGTGGATGGGCGTGACATTCGCCAACTTCCAATCGTCTGGGACCTCCCCAGTGAACCAGGACTGTTGGGAAACGATGGAGAGAGGCTTGGAGAGCTCTTCTGCCAGCTCCTCATCACCCTCCCATCTGGTCCCATAGACTTGTGGGGATCCAAGTGGCTCAACAGATCGCTGACTGTTTCCTCCTGGATTACACAGGGCTATTCAGCTTCTTATCTCTGTCTGCAAGCTCCAGAAGCCAGCTGTCCTCAGGACAACCTGTCTTACTGTTGGAAACTGAGGTAAAGAAGGTGTTAAATACCTCAACCTTTTCCTGATCTTTGATAACTATATTCCCACCCATGTCCAATAAACAATGGAGGTTTTCCTTGCCCCTCCTTTTGCTATTGTTGTATCTGTAGAAGGACTTTTTGTTATCCTTCACAGAAGTGGCTAGATTGAATTTAAATTTTGCCTTCGTCTCTCTAATTTTCTTTCTACGTGACCCAACTATATTCCTAAACTCTTCCTGAGTATCCAGCCCTTTTTTCCATAATTTGTAGGCTCTCTTTTTTACCCTAATTTCCTTCAAAATCTCCCTGTTCAGCCAGGCCGGTCGTCTTCCCCCTTCTTGGCTTGCCTTTCGGCACACTGGGACAGCTCCTGTGCGCTCAGGACTTGCTTCTTGAAGCATGTCCATCCTTCCTGGACCCCTTTGTTTTCAAGGGCTGTTTCCCAGGGTACACTCTGAATCAGTCTTCTGAATAGGCCAAAATCTGCCCTCCAGAAGTCCAGTGTAGAGGTTTTATTGATGGCCCTCCTTGCATCCCTGAGTATTGAAAACTCTCTTATTTCATGGTCACTGTGCCCTAGATGGCCTCCAACCGCCACATCTCCCACCAGCCCCTCTCTGTTTGAGAACAGAAGGTCTGGCGGGGCCTCATCCCTGGTAGGCTCATTTACTAGCTGGAGCAGGAATGAATATAGAGAGGTTGTCAGAGTAAGTAGAAATGAGATAAGGAAGACCAAGGCCCATCTGGAATTAAATCTGGCCAAGGATGTCAAGGACAACAAGAAGGATTTCTTCAAATACATCAACAACAAAAGGAAAACCAAGGCTAATGTGGGCTCATTAGTTAATGGAGAAGGGACCCTGGTGACAGAGGACACAGAGAAGACAGAGTTACTGAATGCCTTCTTTGCATTGGTCTGCACTGATAAGACCAGCCCTCAGAGATCTCTGACCCGAGGCCAGCTTGGAAGAAAAATTTCCCTTGGTCAAGGAGGATTGGGTTAGAGAACACCTGGGCAAATTTGACATCCACAAGTCTGTGGGCCCTGATGAGATGCATCCACGAGTGCTGAGAGAGTTTGTGGATACCTCAGTGAGGCTGCTCCTGATCATCTTTGAAAGGTTGTGGCAATCAGGAGAGGTGCTGGGTGACTGGAGGAAAGCAAATGTCACCCCAGTCTTCCAAAGAAGGAGACCCAGGGAACTACTGGCCAGTCAGCCTCCCCTCCACCCCTGGAAAGGTGATAGTGCCTCATTCTGGAGGCCATCGCTGTCCACCTGGAGGACAAGGAGGTGATCAGGAGAAGTCAGCATGGATTCACTAAAGGTGAATCATGCTTGACCAACCTGATTGCCTTCTATGATGAAATGACAAGCTGGATGGATGAGGAGTGGATATTGTTGATGAATGGATTAGCAGTGGATACTGTTGACCTCAACTTCAGCAAGGCTTTTGACACTGTCTCTCACAACATCCCCATAGGCAAACTCAGGAAGTGTGCACTGGATGTGTGGACCATGAGGTGGATTGAGAACTGACTGAGCGACAGATCTCAGGAGATCATAACCAAAGGCACAGGGTCTATTTGGAGGCCTGTCACTAGTGGTGTCCCCCAGGGTTCAGTGCTGGGCCCGTATTGTTTAACTTACTCATCAGTGACTTGGATGAGAGGGTCGATGCCTCCTCAACAAGTTTGCTGCCGACACAAACATGGGAGGGGTGGCCGATCCCCCAGAGTGCTGTGCAGCCCTTCAGGGGGACCTTGACAGGTTGGGGAGATGGGCAGAGAAGATATGTGTGAAGTTTAGCAAGAGCAAATGCAGGTCCTGCACCCAAGGAAAATAACCCCAAGCATTGGTACAGACTGCGGATGACCTGCTGGAGAGCAGCTCTGTGGAGAAGAACCTGGGGGTCCTGATGGACAAAGAGTTGTCCCTGAGCCAGCAGCATGCCTTGTGGGCAAGAAACTTAAATGGTGTTCTGGAGCGCATTAGGAAGAGCATTTCCAGCAGGTCGAGGGAGATGATCCTGCCCCTCTGCTCAGATCTAAAGAGGCCACATCTGGAGTCCTGTGTCCAGTTCTGGGCTCCTCAGTACAGGAGAGACATGGAGCTCCATGGTCCAGTGGAGGCTATGAAGATGGAGACTGGAACATCTCTCTCACAAGGACAGGTTGAGAGAGTTGGGCCTGTTTAACCTCAGGAAGAGGCAACTGAGAAGGGACTTCATCAATGTCAGTGTCTGCGGGGAGGTGTCAGGGGATGGACGAGGCTCTGCCTTGGGGTGCCCAGCAACAGGACAAAAGACAATGGGCAGAAACTGATGCCTGGGAAGCTCCACCTGAATATGAGGAAGAACTTCCGTCCTGAGCAGTGACCAAGCCCTGGAACAGGTTGCCCAGAGAGGCTTCGGACTCTCCATCACTGGAGATACTCTAGAACCATTTGGACACAATCCTGTGCCATGTGCTCTGGGATGACCCTGCTGGAGCAAGGAAGCTGAACTAGGTGACCCACTGTGGTCCCTTCCAACCTGACTCATTCTGTGATTCTGTGATTGAAAATATTTGGCCATCTGAAAATAACAGAGAAATTAGGCTTTCTGTAACAATAAATGTTGCTGTGTTGTAACAACATATTGCTTGCTCTGCCTGTTTCTCTAAGTGTAACAGATGAGGAAAGAGGGGTTTTATTTGGGGAAAAATTTAAGAGGCTTCACTTAAATTTGAAGTATGGAAGGCACAAGGACTGCTTTGAGAATGTGGCATCATTGTGAAATGTCATGTTCACCAAGGGGTTTGGGGTCATGGCTTCCTAAGCTAAACTTCCCTCTGCCTGAGGCCTGGGGAAAGTGAAATTAGAAGGGTTACAGCCCTTCTTATGTAGCTCCTTCCTTCAGCTACTTCATACAGAAGGCACTTTGAGGACTCTAGTGCTTGGCTCCGAGCATGTGTGCGCTGATTTCAGGTACATTCCTGGGAGATATGTGATAAACTGTGGGGGAAAAGCCTCCAAAAAGCAAGGCTTTCCTGTTGGAAGTATATCCAGGCTTTGCCTGAGACAACCAACTTGGACTGTGTTCTCTCTTGCAATCGTGTTAATTAGTCAAATGCTTTTTAGAAATTAATCTTTAATTTTTGTCTTTGTCTGATGAGCAGAATTCAATCAGTCAGTAGAAGCTGAAAACTATGAGATCGTGGTTACCGCTCAAGTTCTCCTTCAGTGAATAACTGTGGATCTCCCAGGTCGCTCTGCCCTTACCTGTGTCTAAGCACATTGATGCTTAGGAAAGCAGGAACTCATGTTTCTTGGGTGTTTTTCAGAAGAAATGAGTATATAAAGGCATAATGACTAAGGGAAAGTTAAATTGGGCTTTACTTCAAAGGCACTTAAATTCAAGTAAAGCTTATTGCAGCCAACTTATGCCTTGGTTGGACTCCTTGAGTGCAGAGGAGGTGTAGTCTGCCGGCAGTGGGAGTGCAGCGCCCCGTGTTTCAATATGTTCATGTTGTACCCACTGTGCACAAGGTCTTATATATGGTGCATGAAAGTAATAAATTACTAAAAGAAAAGACTTATAGTTCCTCTAATCAGACTGCTAAGAAGTTGTTCTGGTTCATGACATGGCTGGAGTTCCTTTTTATTTCACTCATGTATGTTTGGTATTAAAACACAGATAAAACTACTAAGAAGTTTCTTTCCAGTCCCTACTGGAAAAGGAGTTTGAGAAATGCCAAGGAGAAGGCAAAGTAGGGCATGACAAGAGCTGAATGATTGTATTAAGGTACTAAATCCCTCCTAAACTTTGTTTCTTGCCTATTTTTCTCATTCTTCAGTGTCCACAAAATGAGAACTGATGGTCTGTGAGGGAATTAAAAAAACTTGAACCATACCGAAAAGGAAGGAGTTTGACAGCAACGAACTCCTGCTTGTGTCTCTCCTCTGCTGGGACTGCTGTGTGCTCATCCAGGTAATTCAGATGCTTTTCCCCAAGGCCTGCCTCAGGGAACTCTGCAGCCTTTCAACCCCCTACACAGTGAAGCCTCTGAGGCCAGTGAGAGGGTGCCAAAAACTGAAAGACTTCATCTGACTGGTGTTTGTGCTAGATAGATTTGTATTCATCTGGATAACCCAGAGCATCCTGCCCTTTCTGTTAGAGAAGAGGAAATAATCTTGATTTTAAAATTCTGAGGAACAGGGACCCTGCTTTGCTAAAAAAAAACAACAACATACTCTGATTCCCCTCTAAAATTCTCAACTGTCAAATGTTTGGGCTTGGCTTCTCACTCTGGTTGATTTTTATCTCTGACAGTGGCTTGACCAGGAGAGGATTGGGAATCTTTTACTGTCTCAGGTGATCAACAGTTGTGTTTATACTGTGTAGGCATCTTTGAAGGGCATTTTCAACCACTTTAGTGTTCAACATGAGGCCATTACCCAGTCCCTGCTATTCACTGCAAAAGAAAAGACTTGATATTATAGGTAAAGAACAACTCGGTAAATCCCATAAAGGAGACTCCTCTTGCCCTAAAAAAGGTAGATTCATTGCTTTGTCCTTCCTTCTTTCTGCCTTTTGTGCCACTTCAATAAAGACTTTTTATGTGAGGCATCTTTCTCTGCACAGGGAAAGGAAGGTCGTAACTCTGAACGGGTTGTTTGTAACGTACACACCCCAGGGCTTGCCCAGCTCTCTGGGTGTGCCCAGTGTTGAGAGCTGGCAATGAAATGAACATTAGAAGAGCTCGAGGGGGTCAGAAGAGAGACAGTCAAAATGCTTTTTGTGGAATTTCATAGATGACTGAGGTGCATAGCAATGAGAAACAAACCAGAGATGTTCTATGCAAAAGATTTTTAATTGAAAGCTTTGGTCACCAATTGATCTGTTTCAGCATCTGACCCACCAAGACCAAAACTCTTGACAGAGGAAATGCAAGGGAAGAAGGGCACCGGGGTTGGCTTTAGGCAGCAGCTCTGGAGCCCTCACACTTGCTTCAAGAAAGCGGAGAGCTGTGGAGCTCGTAATTTGGGCCATTTTCTCTGCAGTACTTCAGCTCCACAAGTCGCAGGACATCAAGTGCAGTGCATGATTGTGTATTGTAGGTGTAACTGAGTCCTTTAAAAAAAACCACAAATTACTATGAGTTAATAGCTGAGATATTGGCAGGTAATCTATGAGGGTGCAATTTTGTTGCTCAGAGCAAGCAAGGTTGTGAATAATTGCTGCAATAGAAATGTTATAATATACAAATAAAAGATTCTTTTTGGAGTCACGAAACACTAATGCAATGAGACAATAGTGGTTCATAGAATTACCCCTTTTCTTAGCCAGGGCATTGACAAGGAAGTCAGCCTGAAAAATTCTGAGCCCAAACTTAAGGGCTTAACCCCAGAAAGGGGTAGTAAGGATTTGGAGCAGGTCATTTCTGCAGGCTGGGACTCAAGCCTGGTGCAGTGCTGATCTGCAGAGATGCCGAAGGCTTTCTGCCTAACCTGAAGCTCTTGCTTTCTGTCCGTCTGGAGTTGGAAGAGGACCACTGGTGCAGTAGTCATTCCCCAAGGGGAAAAAAGTGCCAGGTGAGAGAGAGACAGAATTGATTTGCTTGCACTCACCTTGAACTTCATAAGCTCTGTAGGTGGTGAGTCCACTGCACATAGCAATTGTGTTTGCTCCGTAGGAGTTGAGGTTGTTGACCGAACCACTGGTGACAAAGGTGAGCTTCCTTGCAGGTCTTCCAAGACTCACTAGGTTCTAGAGACCAAAAGAGAGCATTCAGCAAGATCAGTGGCGTGATGCGTTTCACGCCGGGCATATGGCGAGTTGTGCAGTGACGAACCGGTGCTTGGGCTGTGACCACCCCCTGCCTTTAGTGGTGCCTTTTAATGACCTGGGGCCCATGGGAGCAGTAGTGTGCCTTGAAGACAGTTCCTAAGGCAGCCCTTTGTAAGGCAGTCAAGGTGCAGGGAGCCTAAGGAGAAGGGGCAGCGCAAGGCAAGCGCGGAGCAGTAGCCGAGGAGCGCAGCCAGTGTGGTAAGACAGATGTTTGAGCAAAGCATTTGCTCGATCACTGTCCTATCCCCTCCCAGAGCTACTCAGGCTGGAGGCGTGGCAGGAGAAGTTTTCCTACTTAAAGGCTTTGTTGCCTGGACCAAGCCCCTGGATGCCTGTCAGAAAAGAGAGTCTGGACAACGGCAGCTGCAAGGCAAAGGTCTGAGCTGACAAATGCGGGGTGGTATTGCAGGGCCTCTGAAGGCCTTG